TTTGCAAAGACTTTTTTTTTACATTTTTTCCTTTCCCTTATGTCCTTTCCCCTACCCTTCCCACTTCCCCTACACCTTTAGCCCTTTTCTTCCTATTCCACATTGTCAATTATACAATTTGGATCTTATTTACATTCTTAGTTTTTCACACCAGAGAAACTATTCAGTATTTACAATGTGTGTCTTATTTATTTCACTTAAGAGTATGGCCTCAATATGCATCCATTTTCCTATGAATGACTCTAGTTTCTCATCCTTTGTGGCTTAGTACTCCATTTTATAGAAAAACGACATCTTTGTCTGGTGGTTAGATGTGTTACCAGAGTTTTAGGTCAGAGGCCCCAGCTATGGGGATCCCAGCAGACTAGACTTGGCCTCAAGTTTCATAACACCAGTCAAGGAGACAAGCAGTGATGAAGGGCAGGTAGGGACTTTAATCAGCTTGGCCATTCTGAAAAGCCTAAGATAGCTCAGAAGGAAGAAAGGTAAGGTTGGGATTGGCATACCTGGGAGATAGGCGTGGGATGCATAGCTGAGAGTGTAGGTAATCTGGTCAAGTCATAGTCTGGCCTCAAAACTGATGCTTTGAGAGCTATCATTGCTTGAGAAGACAATACAGTTCCCCTCATGAGATGACAGCTCCTGCTTTGGGGGGCATCCTCAGTTCCTGTCATGGGGTAATTGTCCTACTTGAGATGAACTCTTCATAGCATGGTCTGTAAAGCTCTGCTTTTACTGGAGCCTGAGGTGGCTACAGGTTTAAGACAATGACTTGAGACTTGTCAGCACCACTCCAGGGTTGTGGAGCTAGTTGTCATAAAAGCTGGTGATTAGAAGTCCTTGCAAATCCTGATGAGAACAACTTCAGTTACTGTTATTTTGATGTCCTCAGTCTCAAAAGATGAGATAGGCTAGGGCAGTGGTAGTGAAACTGGCACATAAGCTACAATGTGCTTTTTGTTTTTTGTTTTGGTACTGGGGATTGAATTCAGGTCTTTGTGCTTGTGAAACAGATGGTGGAACCACTGAGCTAAATTTCCGGTCCAGCTTTTTGTTATTGAAAGCTCTACAAGGCTTGCCATCACAGAGCTAGACACATTTAAAGCTACTAAACCTTGTAATACAGATACTTTCTGAGCAATTAGCATGCCTACATGCCAGAGCTGAGCGGGAATCTGTTACAAAGTTCTCAGATACTAAGGGAGAAATGAAGGGCAGGGATGCCAAGAATTATCCTGCTTTTTAGTTACTCCAAGACATATGCAGGCCTATCCTGATTCCCTGCTACAAATGTTAGGTGTGAGGGAAAAGTCCTTAGTGAATTTAACTTAAAGATTTTTGTACTGAGCAATTGGAAAGGGGATAGGCTCCATGAAATAAGATGCCTGCAGGTCCATTGAATTTGTAGAGGAAAATGAGTTCAGTTTTACACATGTTTTAGATATCTTTTTAAAATTTTTATTTATTTATTTTTTGTACCAGGGATTGAACTTGGCAGGCAGGTGGAAGAACCACTGAGCTAAGTCCCCAGCCCTAAGATATTTTAGACACAGCGTGGAAATACTGACTAGGCAGCTGGATATAATAGTGTACATTATTCTAGAGATTATGTTAATTTGGTAGCTATTGGCCTATACTTATTTAAAATTCTGAGGCAGGATAATATCATTACAGACTTTTATAAGGACTGAGCCATGCTGAATCCCTACATTAGAGTTCAAAGAAAGGACACACCATCAAGGAGCCAAGATGGAGAAAAGAACAAGATAGAAGGAAACCCAAAAGAGCGGGGAATCACAGCCAGATGCAAGTGAGTTGGATGACCAATGTTAACAGATGCCTTTGGCAGGCTAAATAATGAGAGGCTTGCAAAATAGCTTTTGGATTTACCAAGGTTATTATTTTGGTGACCTTAAGAAAAGTTGCTTGTTCCACAATGATGAACGTAAAAGCCTGATAAGACAGAAAAGATGGAATACAATTAATATGCATACACCGTGTAGGAGAAAGCTAACAGGCACAAAGGAGTCCCATGCTGAGTGTATTTAAGAGGTGCTGTTTGGCCATTTCAAGATCAACAGTCACCTGCAGCATGCTTCTGTGAGCCCTGAGGATTCCAAAAAGTCTAAGATAACCAAAAATCATATCTGGGACCATGAGAAGTTTAAAAAGTTGGTCATTAGAGTCCCAAGCAGCCACCTAGCTTACCATCCATAAACCAACACAGGCAGGTTGCACTGGTTGAGCTCCACTGAGTGAAAGAGGGTATGTCTTGGAGTACATATAAAAACTCATTTATTTTAAAATTATTTTTATTGTAACAGGCATGTCCAAGCTACCAGGAAGCCCCAACAGAAAATCTTATCCAGCCACACAGGCTAAACAAAAGGAGATACACGGTCACCAGGAGGAATCCAGACTAAACAGTCACCAGTCCGTTCCGCAGCCTCATGCTTACACCCATAAAGGCAGCTCCCCACATAAAGTACGTAACTCTGGCACATAAATGTCAGCAAAACACTGACAGTAATTACACATGCAACACGATGTTCTTGTTCCTGGGTTTGATTTCCTGAAGACAGGACTGCGTGTGCACCCAGCAAACCAACTTCACACAGAGGTTGGGATGTACGCCCTGCTGATGCAGCTTCCTACGTATAGCTGGGGTTACACTTCTGGGTTCAGTGACCACCAACTTAGATTAACACATCCCACCCCATGCCTACTGAAAGAAAGGGAGACAGATTGACAAAGCTTTCTGGACACCCACTGCACCTCTCCTTTTCTTTACAAATTCCACGAGGTCACTGTTGCTTCTGCTGCACGGTGCCACATAGTACACCTCACAAATGCAGCAGAGCCAACCAACTTTGGACTGAAATACCTGAGTGTAGGAGTGAAAACAACTTTTCCTTCTTACCAGTAGACTACCTCTGGGATTTTGTCACACTGACAGCATCATGATTAAATCCAGCCTGTCTCAATGTCCTCAAATCCCAAATTGGCCCTATGGAGATAAGCCAGAGCCCAGCTCCTTTGCACAGCCAGGGAGCTTTCCTGCTCCCAAACCATAGTGAGCCGTGGCAGGTCACTGATGTGAGCACCAGGCTTGGGACAGGTGTATGCTCACTTTCAGTACTGGTTAGACACCCTGAGAAAGAGCTGGGTGGAAAGACCAGCGAGGCTGATGATCAACAAGCACCAGAAGAATCATCTCTAACCTTCCTCCCTGAGACATATCTTCAAGGAAATGATTATCCAGGAACAATCACAGTTGAGGTAGGACATGGAATGGAACAAGAAAGTGAATATTTACATTTAAAACATTGATGGCAAAAGGTACTTGTCCATAAATATCCCTAAAAATGCTTTCCCTCGCTTCAAATCCATGGTTTCATCATTCTTGCCCCTTTCTTGGAGAGTTCTGCAAGTTCTCTTTCCTAAACATCTTTACTTACACTGACATGGCTGCCTGGGTGTCCCAAAAGGATTCCAAACTTTTACCTGCGGGGTGGTCCTTTTGACTTAAATTGCACGGTACCAGAACCAGTAAGGTGGTTGAAGACACACTGTCAAGTTTTTAGTAGCCTGCCTTTCTGGAGGATGCCACCTGGCAGCAGCATTCA